GGGGGCAAGAACTGGACACAGTACTCCAGATGTGGCCTCACCAGAGCCAAATAAAGGGGAATAATCACTTCTCTGGATCTGCTGACAATGCTCCTCCTAATGCAACCTAATATGCCATTAGCCTTCTTGGCTACAAGGGCACACTGTTGACTCATATCTAGCTTCTCATCCACTGTAATCCCCAGGTCCTTTCCTGCAGAACTGCTACTTAGCCATTCAGTCCCCAGCCTGTAACAATGCTTGGGATTCTTCCGTCCCAAGGGCAGGACTCTGCACTTGTCCTTGTTGAACTTCATCAGATTTCTTTTGGCCCAATCCTCTAACCTGTCCAGGTCACTCTGGACTCTATCCCTGCCCTCCACCGTATCTACCGCTCCCCCTAGCTTAGTGTCATCTGCAAACTTGCTGAGGGTGCAATCCATCCCCTCAGCCAGGTCATTAATAAAGATGTTGAACAGAACTGGTCCAAGAACCAATCCTTGGGGTACTCTGCTAGAAATTGACCTCCAATCTGACATCGAGCCGTTGATCACTACTAGTTGGGCCCAACAGTCTAGCCAGCTTTCTATCCATCTTACAGTCCACTTATCCAATCCATATTCCCTTAACTGGCCGGCAAGAATATTGTGGGAGACCATATCAAAAGCTTTGCTAAAGTCAAGGTATATAACATCCACTGACTTTCCCATATTCACAGAGCCGGTTATCTCATCAGAGAAGCTAATCAAATTGGTCAGGCATGACTTGCCTTTCGTACTATTCCTGATCACTTCCCCCTCTTCCAAGTGCTTCAAAATGGATTCCTTGAGGATCCCCTCCATTATTTTTCCAGGGACTGAGGTAAGGCTGACTGGTCTGTAGTTCCCTGGGTTGTCCTTCTTCCCTTGTTTAAAGATGGGCACTACATTTGCCTTTTTCCAATCATCCAGGATCTCTCCTGATCTCCACGAGTTTTCAAAGATAATGGCCAAAGGCTCCGCAATGACATTTGCCAACTCCCTCAGTACCCTCGCATTAAATCCAGACCCATGGATTTGTGTATGTTTAGCTTTTCTAAATAGTTCCTAACTTGTTCTTTCCCCACCAAGGGCTGTCCACCTCCTTCCCATACTGCGTTGCCTAGTGTATTTGTCTGGGAGCTGACCTTGTCAGTGATGACAGAGGCAAAGAAAGCATTGAGTACGTCAGCTTTTCCCACATCATCTGTCACTAGGTTACCTCCCTCATCCAGTAAGGGCCCCTCACCCTCTCTGATCACCCTCTTATTGCTAACATGCCTGTAGAAACCTTTCTTGTTTCCCTTCACATCCCTTGTTAGCTGCAAGTCCAATTGCGCTTTTGCCTTCCTGATAACTCCTCTGCATTCTCGAGCAATATATTTATACCCCTCCCCAGTCATCTGTCCAAGTTTCCACTTCTTGTAAGCTTCCTTTTTGTGTATAAACTCACCAAGGATGTCCACAGTACGCCAATCTGGTCGCCTACCATATTTGCTTTTCTTACTGCGCATCAGGATAGTTTCTTCCTGTGCCTTTAATAAGGCTTCTTTAAAATACTGCCAGCTCTCCTGGACTCCTTTCCCCTTCATGTAAGCATCCCAGGGAATCCTGCCCATCAGTTCTCTGAGGGAGTCAAAGTCTGCTCTTCTGAAGTCCAAGGTGTGTATTTTGCTACTCTCCTTTCTTCTTTTGGTCAGGATCCTGAAATCTACCATCTCATGATCACTGCTTCCCAGGTTGTCACCCACCTCTACTTCCCCTACTAGTTCCTCCCTGTTTGTGAGCATCAGCTCAAGCTGCACATGGCCCCTGATCAGTTCCTTCAGCACTTGTACCAGGAAGTTATCCCCAACATTCTCTAAAAACTTCCCCTTACTCTTCTCTTCTGCAGACTAAATAAGTCCAAATCTCTCAGCCTCTACTCATAGGTCATGTGGTCTAGCCCCCTAATCATTTTGGTTGCCCTCGGCTGGACCCTCTCCAACGTGTCCACATCCTTTCTATAGTGAGGGGGGGCCAGAACTGGATGTAATACTCCAGATGTGACCCCACCAATGCCAAATAAAGAGGAATATCCAGAGAAACAGAGGCTAGGGACACCATTCCTACATCCTGGCTAATAGCCATCGAGGGACCTGACCTCAGTGAATCTATCTAGCTCTTTTTTGAACCCTGTTAAGTCCTAGCCTTCACCACATCCTCTGGCAAGGAGTTCCACAGGTTGACTATGCGCTGAGTGAAGAAAAACTTCCTTTTGTTTGTTTTAAACCTGCTACCTGATTCCCACTGCCCTGGACTGGGGAAGGAGGTCAAAGCCAAAGCCTGAGCCCTGCCACAGGCTCGCCTTCAGCCCTGAGCACCAGCAAGTCTAAGTCAGCCCTGGCAACTCGATTACAATGGGGTCCGAACCCACAGTCTGAGAATTGCTGATATACATAGAAACCTGAGCTTTTGGGTAGGTCCACAGCCTGCCTGGAGCAGAACGCGCACTAGCTTCTCAGGCCCCTGCAAAGGCTCCTTCTCCTCTGTGTTGTCCTGGTTTCTGGGTCTAGTTTTACCCAGCAACCTCTTGGTCTCCTAGGCTCCCTGCATGGTGGAAGGGAACCAGAAGAAGGAGGCTTGGGGGGAGGCAGTTCCTGGCAGGGCTCCTCTTCCCTTAAGCTTTTCCTGCCCTTTGCTTGCTGCTGCCCTCTTGACCAGTCTCCTCTGATCTGCATTCCTTGCAGGATTAAGGAGCACACACTGCAAAGGAGACGGCGCCCAGAGCTTCAGGGTGTTGTTGGCAATGGGGTGCCTCAAGAGATCAGCCCAGCTGCTCCTTCAGCTTCTGCTACTTGAAGGCTTGAGGCCAGCTCATGGCTCTACTGTGCTGGGCACCCTGGATTTACAGATAGATGAGGAGCAGCCAGCTGGCACTATCATTGGGGACATTAGTGCTGGCCTGCCCCCCAGCACCACTGCCTACATGTACTTCATCTCTGCGCAGGAGGGTAGTGGTGTCACCACGGACCTGGAGATAGATGAGAACACAGGCATCATCAAAACCGCCCGCGTGCTGGACCGGGAGAGTCGAGACCATTACAGCTTCATTGCCGTCACCCCTGATGGTGTCACTGTGGAGGTGACTGTCCAGGTGAATGACATCAATGACCATGTGCCAATGTTCCCCAAGCGCCACCGCACCTTTCAAATCCCAGAACACACCCCCATCAGCAGCAGGTTCCCCTTGGACCCAGCTTTTGATGCTGACAGTGGCTTGCTGAATACGCAGGGTTACATGCTCAAAGGCGAGAATGTGGGCCAGGCCTTCCGTCTGGAGACACGCAGGGGTCCCAATGGGGTCCTCTACTTGGACCTGGTGGTAAACAATGTCCTGGACCGGGAGAACTGCTCATCATACTCACTACTGCTGGAGGCCTATGATGGTGGCTCCCCTCCCAGGAGCTCTCAGATGACGTTGGATGTGGCCATCCAGGACATCAACGACAATGCACCTGCCTTCAATCAGAGCCGGTACCACACCCTCATCTCTGAGAACCTGAAGCCAGGCAGCAGCATCCTGCAGGTCTTCGCCTCCGATGCAGACGAAGGTGATAACGGGGCTGTGGTGTATGAGATCAACCGGCGGCAGAGTGACCCTGACCAGTACTTCACCATAGACGCAAGAACGGGGGTCATCAAGCTCAACAAGGGGCTGGACTACGAGATGAGGAGGGTGCACGAGTTGGTGGTGCAGGCACGGGACAAGGCTGTACACCCAGAGGTCACCACAGCCTTTGTCACCATCCACGTGCGCGACTACAATGATAACCAGCCCACCATGACCATCATCTTCCTTAGTGAGGATGGCTCACCACAGATCTCTGAGGGAGCCCAGCCTGGCCAGTATGTGGCACGCATCTCTGTCTCGGACCCTGACTATGGTGAGTACTCCAACGTCAATGTCTCTCTGGAGGGGGGAGATGGCAAATTTGCCCTCACCACCAAGGACAATATCATCTACTTGATCTGCGTGGACCAGTTGCTGGACCGGGAGGAGAGAGACTCCTATAACTTGCGGGTGACAGCCACTGACTCAGGGACCCCTCCGCTGCGGGCAGAGTCAGCCTTTGTGCTGCAGGGGAGGATGGCA